CCTTTTACGTCTTTGTTTCTAGAAGTTAACCCCATTTTACCTTTTGTTTTACTGTGAACACTTTAGAAAGATATTTACTTCATAGTGTGGTTTGGTTTTGCTGAAAAATGATGACGTAAGTACTTAGGGGAGATTGTTTTATCACCTTAAACTTGTGTACTTCTAAGAAATAACACAACTCTTTTCATTGTGAGCACTTCGGGGACACTTTTAGAAGGTGGTTTTATCTTATGAGGGATGATGCCAGGTGGTTTTATCTTCTGTGAGATGATGCCCCCTTTTTAGTGGGCAGCTCTTGACTTGTTCGTCACAAATATTTTATTTTTCCATGGACTTGTGGGATCAGTTTGGTGGAAGAATGGAATTTTTTGGAATGGATGGTTTACATTTAAATAGGATAAGGGCTAGCTTGTTTACAAGGGCTATTAACTCAGCTGTAAGGGAAGTTTGAAACTAGGACTAGAAAATGGTGAAGGCCAGGGTAAACTAAATGCAAAAAGAATAAAAGACGGAGTTAGAACTTTGGAAGTATAAGTATTGTATAGTCTTAATAAATATATTGTTTTGGTTTTGTTTGTTTTGAATTTCACGCAAAGGTACACGAGGGCTATCTGCGTTAGCTGTCGCTAACTTAGCAGTGATAGACTAGATCACCGCCAACTCTTAGGCTACTCTTTTACCAACGAATAGTTAAATTGACTGTCACATTATAACGTCCCCATGGCTGAAAGGGCGAGCATGTTTGATGATGTGATTCAAACCCACAACCCGTAGATTGTGAGTCGAGTGCCCCAACTACCAATGTAATTTTGAGGAAGTTAATATTATTCTCCTGTCACCCCCCCCCCCCAGTGGCACAGCGGTATGTCTGCGGACTTACAACGCTAGAATCCGTGTTTCGATACCCATGGTGGGCAGAGCACAGATAGTCCATTGTGTAGCTTTGTGTTTAGTTACAAACAAACAAATGCATTATTCTCCTACTTTGTACGACAAAATGGAAGAAATACGACGTTCTATAATTATGTCATCTGATTTATTTATAACATCACTTTTTTGTTGCTTGCAAACGTTTCGTCTCTGTTGTACAGACGGTGACAGTAGTAACAAGTAAAGTTCTGAGATTATTGGAGTAACTTATAACATCCATTAGTCCGATTAAACATTGCCATCTGTTACTTGATGGTTGTTACTATACCTTTAAGTAATAATAATCCTGGAAAATTTTAAGTTATTGGCAGTAGAGTTTTTTTCTTTTTTTAGCTGAGCAATTTTTTCATCAGTTTCTGAAAGAAAGGAAAATAATATGAGTTAACATTTCTCGTATTGTCGATTTGCTGTTACAAGCTGGGATTTCAATCAATAATGTGTTTCTAAAGCAAATTGACTCGAGAACATGAAGCAATCAAACATCGTGTAGCCTTTTTTATCCGTTTTATCAAGGTTTGTTTGTTTGTAGTTATGCACAAACTACACACAATGGGCTATCTGTGCTTTGCCAACCACGGGTATCGAAACCCGGTTTTTAGCGTTGTAAGTCCACAGACATACCGCTGTGCCACTGGGGGGAATAAATATTAGTAAATGAAGGAATGTAATTATATCAGCAACACCCTATATTCCTTTAAATCTTCGCTATAAAAATGATATAAAAATCAACAGTAAATACATTTAAAGATAAAATGTTTCGCAGTCCGACTGTTATTTACTGAAAAGTACTGTTCTCAGAAAAGTTTGCTGGAAAACAAATGATTTGTTTATAATGATGCAAAAAGTAGCCAACCGAGTTAGACTTTAATAACTAAATCTACTGTTTAAAATACACAATAATATATATTTATCATTACTTTATAAAAGAGGTCACAAATATTAGATAACCAGTTTTCTGCTTGCCAGTTATAATGAAGCAAGTTTTTTTTTACAATGATCTGTCCAATGTAGTAGAAAATAAAACAATAAAGGTGAAAATATGTAAAATTAATTTGTATATGTCTTAACTAATGCTTTTACCACAAATTAAAAGTGGGCGAATTTCTATATCAGCGAAAAATGTTTCCAAATTAATAGTTTAGTCATCGCCATAATGGGAACGTTTCAATGCCTTACACAACTGATATGTAGTCGTTTTCAAAGTTTACCACAAATTAAAATTGGGCGAATTTCTATATCAGCGAAAAATGTTTCCAAATTAATAGTTTAGTCATCGCCATAATGGGAACGTTCCAATGCCTTACACAACTGATGTTTTCAAAGTTATCGAGTTGGCTTACGTACGTGTCTTTAGGCTTCTAATTAAGAGTGACTTAATTTCTGTTGTCACATTCATGTTTAATTTTCAAGCTACAATCAAACTGCTCAATTCAGTTTTAAGCTAAAACAACAACGACAGTCTCGAAGATGATTTTTACACACTGGCATTTTTATTCGTTGTTTTCTGTCCATAAATAAGACACTGTGGGAAATATTTGAAAACAATTACAATTTTAACACAAAACTGCTACTTCCAGTTTGCAAAGAGTGACGACGAAGAGTGAGCAATGTGATAGATCTTATACCTAATCGTTTTCTTTTGGTGTTTTCTCGTTCTTTTTGAACAGAACCCTAATTCTAATAAACTGATGACATGGTTTATGATCAAACTTTGCAAAACCGCTGCTGCCAAATTTACACAAATGTGTAATCATCACAGTCATTACAGTGGAGTTCATAAGTTTCCACACCGTATATAAGCAGAATATTCTTCTTTCGTGAGACATATTAGAGAAAATGATAGTACATTAAAGTTCAAAATCGTTACATTTCAGTAATCTTTTAGTTTCTTTAAATCTTTAACTGTTTTTACTTTTCGGAGAACTTAATGGTGACGTACTAAAGGAGATTATTCTAAGTGTCCTGATCATCACTTACTTAATTCTAGTTATTTCTAAATTTGATCATTAACTACAAATTCACATACTCTTGTCTTCACTTTTCAGCAGTGTGTTTGATAAGTTTCTACTTCTACTTTAAAAAATATATATTAAGTCGTTGCTGTGTCTTTTCAAGACACTTAAGGCCGGTGCCTTCAAACATCAGTTTCAAGTGGCACAATAGAAGTTAAATCCTTGCTGTGTCTTTTCAAGGTACTTAGGGCCGGTGCCTTCGAATTCCAGTTTCAAATGGCACAATATAACTTAATTCCTTTCTATGTATTTTCAAGGAACTTAGGGATGGTGCCTCCACATTATGGTTTCAATTGGCACAATAGAAGTTAAATCCTTGCAGTGTCTTTTCAAGGCACTTAGGGCCAATGCTTTCGAACAACTGTTTCAAGTGGCATAAGCAGATAAGAATGGATACAATATGGAATATTTAACTAAAACCAATTTCTCAAAGGAGCTCTATATTGTTTTGAAAAATTGATAACAACTCACATAAGCAGAGTACCTTGTATTAAACCCAATGATTGGAATTTTTTTTTTTTGTTGTTGTTGTTTTCCATGAAATTTGTTAAGACTTGAATATCTGTTCTTAACATAGTTTTGTAAAAACTATTCATTGGAAAAGAAATCACAGCAGAGATTGTACAATTTTGTTTTGGTATTCACTTACTTCCATAATCTTTCTAACCAATCAGAATGTTTAATCTCACCATTGTAAGTCACCTTTCTAACCAATCAGAATGTTTAATCTCACCATTGTAAGTCACCTTTCTAACCAATCAGGATGTTTAATCTCACCATTGTAAGTCACTCTTCTAACCAATCAAGATGTTTAATCTCACCATTGTAAATCACCTTTCTAACCAAATAGGATGTGTAATCTCACCATTGTAAATCACTTTTTTAACCAATCAGGATGTTTAATCTCACCATTGTAAGTCACTTTTCTAACCAATCAGGATGTTTAATCTCACCATTGTAAGTCACTTTTCTAACCAATCAGGATTTCTAATCTCACCATTGTAAGTCGCTATTCTAATCAATCAGTTGTTACTATAAACATGATTGTGAAAGTTTTGTATTCAATGTTTCTAGATGAAACTGGAACATTACTTGGATTATGTTTGTTTGTTTGGTTGCAGTTAAGTACAAAACTACACAATGGACTGTCTGTGCTCTGCCCACCACGGTTATCGAAACCCGGTTTCTAGCGTTGTAAGTCCGGAGACATACCACTGTGCTACTGGATTATGAGTTAGGATTGATGCTTCAATGTGGCCCAACTACCAACTAAATTGGACTTAATCATCTTGAGTATATAGGTCATTTAACCCTCATGTTACCAACTTGTTTATTTACCGTTCAATGCCGGTGAGGTTTACTTCTTACACAATATTGAAGACTCGCAATATGAGGGTTGTGGGTTCGAACCCCCGTACCACCAAACATGTCGCCCTTTCAGCCGTGGGGGCATTATAATGTGACGTCCAATCCCACTATTCGTTGGTAAAAGAGAAGCCCAAGAGTTGGCGGTCGGTGGTCATGACTAGCTGCCTTCCCTCTAGCCTGTCACTGGAAACGGCTAGCGCAGATAGCCCTGGTGTCGCTTTGCGCAAAATTCAAACCAAACATCATATATTTATTTGCTAAACACTAACTTTAAAGAACTGACCAAAACGTTTAGATACATAGAATACAAAAGATAAATAGAAAACCTCAGTATAATTAATGGAATCAGTTACAATGTTTTTGTTTAATTTGTTTTTTGTGTCACTCATATGCACTTAGAATCATGAAACTGAATATTGTTTAAAGACAGTATATATGGCATCCCCCCCCCCCCAGTGGCACACAGCAATAAGTCTGCGGACTGACAACGCTAGAATCCGGGTTTCGATACCCGTGGTGGGCAGAGCACGGATAGCCCGTTGTGTTGCTTTGTG